TTTTTAAGAGCATAAGCAAGGAGAGAAGGAGAGGGAAGGAGAGAAAGAGAGAGAGAGAATCCTAAGCAGGCTCCACACTCAACACAGCCCGACACGGGGCTCAATCCCATGACCCTGGGATCATGATCTGAGCCAAGATCAAGAGTCAAATGCTTAACTGACTGAGCCATCCAAGCACCGTATTGTTTTTTAATCCAACCACTACCACAGCTGCCACACAGATCGAAGGAGTGACAGAGCTAGTTTGTACCTTTGACAAAACTGCTTGCTGCTTGGGGCGCCTGTGTGGTTCAGTTGGTTAAGCATCTGTCTTCGGCTCAGGTTATGATCTCACGGTTTGTGAGTTCAAGCACTGCTTCAAGTGAGCCCTGCTTCTCTCTCTGCCTCTCACTCACTTGTGTCTTCACTGTCTCTCTCTCGAAATAATAATAATAATAAATAATAAAATGATCAGTGTTGTGATTTTTTTTAAAAAAATGGCTGTGTGCTGCTCACTACAGCTGTCATTCTTGTTTCTGCAAATTTGTCTTCCAGCTTCTTTTAAAAGTTTTTATTTAAATTCCAGTGAGTTCTAGTCCCTGGGCACCTGGGTGGCTCAGTCGGTTGAGCATCTGACTCTAGGGTTTTGGCTCAGGGTATGATCTCGCTGATCCTGAGTTCAGGCCCCCTGACAGGCTCTGTGCTGACAGCTCAGCCTGGAGCCTGTTTCGGATTCTGTGTCTCCTTCACTTTCTCTGCCCCTCCCCGCACTGTGTGCATGCTCTTTCTCATAAATTAAAAAAAAATTTAAATTCCAGTGATTTCTCTCTCCCTCTCTCTTTCTCTCAAAAATAAATAAACATTAAAATTTTTTAAAGAAAAAAGGGTGCCTGGGTGGCTCAGTTGGTTAAGTGTCCAACTTCAGCTCAGGTCATGATCTCACAGTTCATGAATTTGAGCCTTGCGTTATTAGGCTCTTTGCTGTCGGCACAGAGCCCACTTTGGATCCTCTGTCTCCCTCTCTCTCTGCCTCTCTATGTCTCTTGAAAATAAATAAACATTAAAAAACAATTTTAATTCCAGAGAGTTAACATACAGTGTAATGTTGGTTTCAAGTGTGCAATATGATTCAGCATTCCCATGCAACACCTGATGCTCATCACACGTGTACTCCTTAACCACCATCACCGTCCCCTCTGTTAACCATCAGGTTGTTCTCTATAGTTAGGTGTCTGTTTCTTGGTTTGTCTCTCTCTCTCTTCTCTTTTCCTCTTTGCTCATTTGTTTTGTTTCTTAAATTCCGCATATGAGTGAAATCATATGGTATTTATCTTTTCTGACTGACTTCACTTAGCATAATACTCTCTAGCTCCATCCAGGTCATTGCAAATGACAAGGTTTCATTCTCTTTTATGGCCGAGTTGTATTCCATTGTATATATATACCACATCTTCTTTCTCCATTCATCTATTGGTGGACACTTGGGCTGCTTCCATAATGTGGCCATTATTGATAATACTGCTCTAAATGTCAGGGTGTGTGTCTGGCTTCTCTTTTGATACTAAACAGAGATAGACTAGATCATTTAGCTTTCTCTTAGGAAATGCAGATAGAAACTCCTCATTTGTGATAGGAACTTCATGTTCTTCCTGCTTATTTCCTTTTCTTGGTTTCATTTACTCAGTTGGGTAACAAATTGGATGTGAGGTGTATCTTAAGCATTCTTTCTTCTTGGTGCCGATTCACAGTTAGCTTCAACTATAACCCACTTTCTATCATTTTTGCCTGCCTGATGAAAATATTCATGACTGGTACTTAGTGTTACTTTCTCTTGAGAATAAGAGAAAAGCATTAATGGATTTTTAAATGCCTTTTCCCCCCAGCTTTATCAAACTATAACTGATCACCAAAAATTGTATGTATTTAGGGGCACCTGGCTGGCTCAGTCACTAGAGCATACAACTGTTGATCTCAGGGTCTTGAGTTCAAGCCCCACATTGGGGGTAGAGATTACTTAAAAAATAATAAATAACATCTTTTTAAAAAGTAACCTCTGGGGCGCCTGGGTGGCGCAGTCGGTTAAGCGTCCGACTTCAGCCAGGTCACGATCTCGCGGTCCGTGAGTTCGAGCCCCGCGTCAGGCTCTGGGCTGATGGCTCAGAGCCTGGAGCCTGTTTCCGATTCTGTGTCTCCCTCTCTCTCTGCCCCTCCCCCGTTCATGCTCTGTCTCTCTCTGTCCCAAAAATAAATAAACGTTGAAAAAAAAAAAATTAAAAAAAAAAAAAAAAGTAACCTCTATCCCCAATGTGGAGCTCGAACTCATGACCTTGATATGAAGAGATGCATGCTCCACTGATTAAGCAGCCAGGTACCCCAAGTTTCCTTAAAAAAAAATTGTATATATTTAAAATGTACATGGGGCACCTGGGCTGCTCAGTCAGTTGAGCATCCAACTTCAGCTCAGGTCATGATCTCACAATCTGTGGGTTCAAGCCCCGTGTTGGGCTCTGTGCTGACAGCTCAGAGCCTGGAGCCTGCTTGGATTCTGTGTCTCCCTCTCTCTGCCCCTCCCTTGCTTTCTCTCTCTCTCTCTCTCTCTCTCTCTCTCTCAAAAATAAATAAACATTTAAAAAAATGTTTAATGTACAACCTGCTCAACATACATATACATTATGAAATATTCACAAACAAGCCAATCACCATGTATCTATCAACCTCTTTACCAGTTTCCTTTTTTCCTTTGTGTGTGTGGTGAGAACACCCAAAGTCTGTCTTCTTAGAAAATTTCAAAAACAATACAATATTGTCAACTATACTTACATTGATGTGAACCGGTTTTCCAGAATTGATTCATCTGGTATAATTGGATCCTGTACCCTTTGACCAACATCTCCCTACTGCGCCCTCCCCGCAGCCCATGGTGTCCATCTACCTTTCTCCTCTCTGTTTCTGTGGGTTTAGCTTCAGTGCCATTTTTATTGGCTTTTTGTAAATTGAAACTTGAGTACTTAGCACTGGTATCCTCTTCCACATGTTCATTGTATGGTAAAATATCATGTGCATTTCAGGAAATATACCAACTTTTTTGATGGGGGTGAAATTTATTACAGATTTTAGTTCTAACTCTTAGGAACAATCTAGAGAGGACAGGGTACATTTTGAGTGATTTAGATCTTTGGGAAATGGAGGTAAGGTAGATTGTTTGAAGTAAAAAAATACTTTATGGATAACCAGACATAAAATTCATAGCTTATCTTAACATCCCTAATTCTAACCTGCACATATTTAGTTCTTTCGTTAAGCTTTAGACAGAAGAGTGAAAAAAGGTATGAAGCAGATCAAGATTCCTCCCTTTTTTTTCTCCTTTATCAAGATTTTGGGAGTTCTGTTTCGTTTTTTGTTTATTTTTTTCATTTTGTTTGCAAATATCTTTGAGTGATATCCTTAGTTATGATGAATTGTAACAGTACGTGAGAGACAGAAGATTTAAAATATGGTTTTTGACTTTTGGTTCTGTAACAACTCTCTTTTGTATTTGATCTGTGCTGTTACTTTCGGTGTCCTGCACAGATGTCCTGTGTGCCGATACTGCCAGACTCCAGAGCCAGTAGAAGAGAATAAGTGTTTTGAGTGTGGCGTTCAGGAAGTAAGTAATGGCTGGTGGGAAAGAATAATGAACACAGCTTTAATGCTCTGGGGATTTCTTTTGCCCCGTGTGCCTTAAATTCTTTTAAATTCTTTTTCAGACTGATGCTTTTGTTTTCTTTTGTCTAAGGTCATGCAAGAAATATGAATACGTTATTTTACACTCTGAAGCAAAAATCTCTGTGCTTTTATTTTTTGTTTTTTGAAAAAGACTAGGCTTTTACTGATAAATTATGAATATTTGTCTTGCCATTTCCCTAGAGTTCGTTAAAAAACCAGAGGGAGAAAATGACCCATAAAAGCACCCTTGCTTTTTGCATTTCAAACACATATTTATTCAAAACTCCTGTAGAAACAATTCACCTTCATTCTGTGTCAGGGCCTTTCCCACTCTGAGTGAGCCAGGTCATGTGTTTTTGTACAACTAATTAAGATGTTGTCTTCTCCTTGGCAGAACCTTTGGATTTGTTTAATATGTGGCCACATAGGATGTGGACGATATGTAAGTCGACATGCTTATAAGCACTTTGAGGAAACCCAGCACACGTATGCCATGCAGCTTACCAACCATCGAGTCTGGGACTATGCTGGAGGTGAAGGCCATTCTTGTTTTCTAATTTGGATTCATTCTGCATGAACATGTCTCCCTTAGAACCTCTCCTCTTCCTCTTCTCTCACAGCTTGAAATCTTCCTGACTGCTGTGGCAAACTTGAATTCTCAGGGTGCCCCATAGCACACTATTTCCTGCAAATGGCCTGAATTACACATTATAAAGAGAGTTAATACTTCTATACTTGCCCTCTGACTCTTAAATTCAAGTGAGTTAGCCCACTTGTACAGAAGTATTGCAAGGCATTTAATTTAAACCTGTAAAAACAAAAATTCTGGCCAAGTTGAAAGTATATGCAGATCCTTTTCATTCTAAAGAAACAAGCCTTGATTGACTGATTCATTCTTTTCTTTAGATAATTATGTCCATCGATTGGTTGCAAGTAAAACAGATGGAAAAATAGTACAATATGAATGTGAGGGTGATACTTGCCAGGAAGAGAAAATAGATGCCTTACAGTTAGAGGTAAGATACTTTGTTAGTAATTACTAAGTACCTTTTTGTACTGCTTTTTACTATCCTACCTTAAAAAGTGGCTTGGGCTTTTACTCTTGCCATTTATTTCTATATGCCAACTTTTTTTTAAAGTTCTATCATTGCTGTGGAGGATTATTAAAATACTTTTATTCTATCTAATTTTCTTCTTTGGAAGTCTACGCTTCACTGTGTCTTACTATTTTGAATGGGATGTTTCTCATTGTCTCAAGCTCAATGTTAAGGTGGTTCTCTAGCTGCAATAAAACTGAAAGTTAAGAATCTTCCTGTTGGCATCACAGTAGCAGTTGGAAACCGAGCAGGTCAGAATGAGGAAACCCCAGTAGCACCCTTCCATGCCCAGGAAGCTTTTTTACATGTCTTGCACATTTTATGAAGTAGACGCTTACATACTCAAAAGTATGTATTTTATGAATTTGATGTTTACATATGTATGTCTAAAGCCATTTGGGAGTATTCATATATAGTTGAAGAAACAACAAAATTAGCACAGTCTGATTTTTCACTGTAGTAGTAAATCCCACCTACTATAAAATTAGTATATTGTAAACGTTACGATAATGAAGGGAAAGTTTAAAATGAGTCTTGTTTTGTATTAATTTCAATCTGATTGCTTTAAAAACAAATAGCTTAGGGGTGCCTGGGTGGCTCAGTTGGTTAAGAGTCTCACGGTCTGTGTGTTCAAGCCCCGCGCCGGGCTCTGTGCTGACAGCCTGGAGCCTGCTTCAGATTCTGTGTCTCCCCCTTTCTCTGCTACTCCCTTGCTTGTGCTGTGTCTCTCCCTCTCTCTCAAAAGTAAATAAACGTTAAAATAAAATTTAAAAACAAATAGCTTAGCCTTGGGAGGAAATGGATATTTGAAAGCTTGGTCATCTCCGGACTTTTATGGTCTAATAGATTGAGTAGAATGGCTTAAGGTAAGGCTGATGTTTTTACGATTAATTGTATTGATATGAAAAAGTTTAAACCTTTTACATTAAGTTTTTAGAAGTAACCCTTCCACATTAACTCTAGGTATATTCATTCAACAAATGTTTATTGAGGGCTGCTGTCTGTGGGCCAGTCTTCTTGGTGCTGGGAATGCAGCATTGAACAGACTCCCTGCCCTTGTGGAGTGTACATTCTAGGGGCACACACACATTCTCCCATCTGTCCTTTCTCCCTGTTGTACCTTCCTTCTCTTCTCTAGCTTACAAGCACATTGAGATCTCCTTTTAGTCTTTTAGAATGGTTTTTCTGAAATGCAGATGTCATGTTGCTACTCCACGGCCCACATTTCTCAGTATGGTGCCCCCGGGCCTTCTATAGGCCCCATCTGCCCATACCTTGCACCCTAGCCTCATTGATGTTAGTCCTTCATCTTGAAGAGATCCTAAATGTCCACAGCTCACATCTGGGTCCAGTAGTTCTCTGGAATCAGATCTCTGTCTTTACCTGTCTCCTCCACCTCTCTGTTGAGAGCCCTCCCATATCTCTCCTTCTCTCAGATGTCCTCCCAGACCCTACTGTCATAAGCCATCTATCCTTTCTCAGTAGTTACACATTCATTCATGTTGTTCATTCATTCATGCAGTCAGGTAGCAAACATTTCCTGACATCCAGCATGTGCCAGGCACTGAGGCTACAGAAATAAAGTTAGAACCCTCACTTTCGAAGAGTTCATATTCTAGTCAGGGAGATCTGGTGATTAAGTGCTAGCATCCTAAGTGCTGTTAATGACAGGCACTATACTAAGGGAGCTGAGAGGGGTGCTTAATCCCAGGCTGGGAGGGACAGGGACAGCTTCCTGGAGGGGGGTGAGCTGATTTAATACTTTGATTTAAAAACCTTGGGGTTCTTCTTAAAATTAGCTTGATGGGACACCTGGGTGGCTCAGTCGGTAGGGTGTGTGACTTTGGCTTAAGTCATTATCTCACAGTCTGCGGGTTCAGGCCATGTGGGGCTCTGTGCTGACAGCTCAGAGCCGGGAGCCTGCTTTGGATTCTGTCTCACTCTCTCTCTGCCTCTCCCCAGCTTGTGCTCGCTCGCGCTCTCTCTCTCTCTCTTTCTCTCTCTCTCTCTCTCTCAATAATAAATAAACTTAAAAAATTATTTTAAAAAATTAGCTTGAACAGAAACTTATTTGCTAATGTACATTTCTCTGCTTTCTTGTCCAGACTAGATTGTAAGCCCCAGGTCAGGAGTGTAATTGACATCTCTGTATTCCCATGATTTGTTGAGCAGAGAATAACCAAGATGTAATACATGTTCTGATGATTGTATTTACTCTTCTGTAGGGCATTAAAAGTCAGGTTTTGGTTTTTTTAATAAAAATAAATAAAAGTCAGGTTTTAACTGAAATTCAGAAACTACAGTGATTTATGTGTTGGTGTCTGTTCTCTGTTTTAGTATTCGTATTTACTAACAAGCCAGTTGGAATCTCAACGAATCTACTGGGAAAACAAGATAGTTCGGATAGAGAAGGACACAGCAGAGGAAGTAAGTTTCTGTCTGGACTGCTGCTGACGTGCCACATGGCAGGGCTATCTGATGTTGGGATGGGAGAAGGCAGAATACAAGAAAAAAGGAATGCTGGAATCATTCTTAGGCTGATACAGAGATAGAGAATTGTTTTGCCTCTAAAAAGAAACCTTTGTCATATGTCAGTTATATCTCAATAAAGCCTGGGTGGGGGGGCAGCGGCGGAGAGAAGAAAGAAAACAAGAATTTGGAATCAGTCGGCTCACCCCAGTAATCTAACTTTAGATCAGGATTCCAGAGAGAAGTGGTTAAAAACATGAATCATCATCATTATATTACAGACATAGCCCCTGAAGGCAGTGTCAGGCAACAAGAAATTCTAGACCACAAAGAGAATGAAATTAGTCAAAATGAGGAAAAGGAAGAGGCAAAAATATGCTGTTGCAAATGCTGTCAGCTGAGCATTATTTAAGAAAGGGAGGGAAGCCAACATACACTCTCACCTAGGGTTACCAAATCGAAAAGAATGTATTAAAATTGTATGCCGAGCTCTGTATTATACTAAATATAGGAAGAAACAAAATACCTGCTACATACCCTGAAAAAAGAAAACTTGGATTTAAAGACTTGAGTATTTTGGTATTTTTGATTGGGAAGAGATTTGTTTGTTAATTCAATCAGGTTTTCTGCGCCTTGTGCAATTCCATTAAAAAAATAGAAGTATGTACATGAAGACTTGTAATTTGAGTCAGCCAGTTGGTTTGTCAGCTTGGGAACAGCTGCTTTGAGGAGCTGCGTGTGGGCTTCTGTGGCACCAAGATGGTGCTGAGCCCTTCAAAATTGAAGAGAAGAAAATCAGGCCGAGGTGTTAGAGCTTCGGTGGTTCCCGTGATGCCTTGTTTGTCTAGGACACAGGTTTTCAAATTTAGCGAAATCCTTGAAAGAAGATGCCACTCACTCCTCCACCAGGTAGAAGAGGAAAGTGGTGTGTTTTTGGTGGAAACCCAGAGGGAGGGCCCAGAACTTCACCTGCTTGGTTTTCCCATCGTCTCCAGCAGGTACAAGGGACCCTGACGGTTCCAAAGAAAGCATTTTGAAAACCAGTGAGCTCCTGAGGGTTCACATAGCATGGGAGTTCCAAGAACCTTTCTCAGGTTCTAGGGACAGTGTTCATAATTCACTGATCCTCTTAGTAGTAATACAGGCTTTTCAATTTTTTAAATAATTGGGGTGCCCGGATGGCTCAGTCAGCTGAGCGTCCGACTCTTAATTTCAGCTCAGGTCATGATCCCAGGGTCGTAGGATCGACCTCAGTATGTTGGGCTCTGCACTGAGTGCGGAACCTCCTTAAGAGTCTCTCCCCCTCTGCCTCCTTCCCCCATGTAGGCACATGGGCTTGTGCATGCGTACTTTCTCTCTCTGAAATAAGATAACAACAATGAAACAAATAAATCCTTAAATGATTATTTTAGTAATTTTGTGAGTCCCTGGCATAACTAGATCTTCAGAAAGGGACTGCAGAGCCAGGCTCAGGTCTCATCTGTGTGGTAGCTAGGGTTATCCTGGAATTAAGCAGGCAGGGCCAGGCTCACACATATGTCAGGCCCGTTGGCCCCAGTTTCTGGGTATGCCTACAAATGAGGAGAAATCAAGGTTCTCAAATGAAGGCTTAACACCAGCTTTAAAATCTTTAGTTCAGGGGCGCCTGGATGGCTCAGTCAGTTGAACGTCCGACTTCGGCTCAGGTCACGATCTCGCGGTTGGTGGGTTCAAGCCCCACGTCGGGCTCTGTGCTGACAGCTCGGAGCCTGGAGCCTGCTTCGGATTGTGTGTCTCCCTCCCTCTCTGCCCCTCCTCCACTCGTACTCTGTCTCTCAAAAATTAATAAAAACGTCAAAAAAACAAAAAAGATCTTCAGTTCAAAGTTGTTGATGTAGTTTTTATCAGAACCTTCCAAGTGGTGGAGGTGCCTTTCCAGAGGAACTCAGGGTCGCTTGCTGTACCGGTTCTGAATGGGGCTTAGTTAGAGCACACATGGGAAGGACATGCCTCCGACAGCACTCAGGAGGACGAGCTCTGGTTACTGCCACTTGGTGTCAAGTCCTGAGTCCCTAGGAGGAACACTCAAAACACAGCCTCAGTACTAGGCGTTTCCACAGGGGGGGGTACCTAAAGTACTTCATGCAGACCCTTGAGAGCTAAGCTTAGGGTTCTCTCTGCCTTTTAAGACCCTTTAGGATTAACTGCATTCCCTAACGAATGCCTAAAGCTCATTTTTCCTTTGCCGTACAGCTATGGCCTGCAATGTAGTGCAGAGAGGTTTAGAACTTGGGTCCAGTCCCAGACCCACCATGCTCTAGCTGGGTAACCTTGGGCATATTGCCTCACCTTTCCGTAAGCCTGTTGATAAAGTTGACACACTGAAGTCTCTGGCTTTTTATCAGATATAAAGGAGATACTGCTTACAAAACATCTGGCTGGTGCTTGGGCCATAGGATTTAAATTCTCAGTCCCTTTCAGCTCCTGCCCTTTCAGCTCTTACTGCCTCACGATCCACCCAGCCTCACTACTTCCCATCCAGTCTTCTCCCTGTGTCCTCAGACTGGTAGAGGTGAGGCATTTCTCAGTTGGGTAGATCGTCACACCTGACTGAATCTAATGTCTGCTTAGCTAGACTTCAACAGACTCTTGGTTTCTGACACGTAATACGCCAGAATTTTAAAATTCTCTTCAGTTTATAAGACAATGTAACATGAATTCGTTCTCTCTATATTGCATTTATAAATTAACTCAAAACAAGAACTGCTTATGTTCCATGTGGCTTCATGGTACATGAGAAAATTTAATAATGAGGTTTTTTTGGGGGGTAGGGACCCAAACAGTTAAAATCCATTATTACAATTTTCTTGGATTAGATTAGTTTGTTAGATTATTTGGTTAGTAATTTTTGGAATGTGATCTCAGGAGGAAAAAAACGTGGTGAGTTAAGAAGAGGCTCTGGTCTGGCCTCTGACAGACTGTCTCCTGCCTTACTGCCTGAAGCTCACTCTTTACTTCTGAGCAGTTTCACTTGCCGTTCAGCTGTGATCCGTTGCTCATCCTTGTATAGAGAAACAGTAAGGGGTAAAAAAAGCATTTCTCAAAATGTTTATTTCTGTTACAGAAGTTCTTTCAAATGATCTCACCTTTTCTTAGTTTGGTTTATCAAAGTTACAGACAGGTCATTGAAAAAACGCTTGTGAAGTTAGCCCCAGAGACCCCACAAAACTATGCCTCTTTGAAGTGAAACTGATCTCCGTTTGCTCTTCCAGATTAACAACATGAAGACCAAATTTAAAGAAACGATTGAGAAATGTGACAATCTGGAGCACAGACTAAATGATCTCCTAAAAGAAAAGCAGTCTGTGGAAAGAAAGTAGGTGTAATTGGTCTCTTCTTTAACTTAGCTATTTCATTTTTACAGGTAATCTCCTCCATTCCTATGAACACGCTTTCCTTTTCAAGGGTGCCTATCACTAGGTTTTCAGGGGTCTCCCTATTTATGGAGCAAACTTACTGTGACTTCCTGTTGATTAAAAACGACAGCATTACATGCCAGATGGGTGCCGTGTGGAATGCAGAGCTCTCTGCTGATGTCTGTGCTCGCTGTATGTGCAGATATCTTCCACTGTTGCCTGTAGAGGGCAATTCCCTTGTGCTCAGAGCTGCAGCTTCTCGGAGCCATGGTGGCTGAGAACTGGCAGGAGAGAGAATATGTCTGAGCCGGACATGGTTTGTATTCTGGCCTTGGGCAGGAATTAAAGGCCAGAGTTGTTGAATATGGAGGAAAAAATTCAAGAACAGCATGGCAAGAACATACTCTACTACTGTGATATGGGGGGATAGTTGCTGCTCATGGAAATTACCTTTCTAGTTTAAGTATATTCACAAAAATAATTGGCTTTTTACTTCCAGACAGTGGATGAAAAATAAGGAGAATTTTTAAGAGCTTTTTTTTTTTTTTTTTTTTTTGAAGAAACCTTCATTCTGGAATAAATTCAGGTTTACAGAGGTTGCTAAGATAGTGCAAAGAGTTTCCATGTACCCTTCACCTGTTTTCCCCACTGTCAAAAGTTATTTTAATAGATTTTCTTTGTATTGTGGTAAAATCTATATAACAAAATTTGTCCTATTCACTCTAAGTGTATAATTCAGTGGCACTAAGTGGCATTCACAGCATCCTGCTACTGTCACCATCATCTGTTTCAGAATTTTTTCATCACCCACAAGACTCTCCACCAAAGGTTTTTTTTTTCTTTTAAATATTTTCTTTTTTTTATTTCTTTCCTCACACTCTTAAATATCTTATTTTTTAAGGAATCTCTACACCCAACGTGGGGCTTGAACTCAACAGCCCTGAGATTAAGAGTCTCATGCGGGGCGCCTGGGTGGCGCAGTCGGTTAAGCGTCCGACTTCAGCCAGGCCACGATCTTGCGGTCCATGAGTTCGAGCCCCGCGTCGGGCTCTGGGCTGATGGCTCAGAGCCTGGAGCCTGTTTCCAATTCTGTGTCTCCCTCTCTCTCTGCCCCTCCCCCGTTCATGCTCTGTCTCTCTCTGTCCCAAAAATAAATAAACGTTGAAAAAAATAAATAAATAAATAAAAAAGAGTCTCATGCTCTACTGACAACCAGCCAGGCGCCCCATAGGTTTTTTTCTTTTTTTAAACTGTTCTAAAAGCAACACTACAGGATTAATAGAAATTAAAATATTCTATACTTTCAGCTCCCTAACAAATTCAACTGTATTAAAGAATTAAAATTGGAAGTTTTCTTCCAGGCTGTAGATTTTGCTATCTAAAGATTACCACTATTCATTGATGGTACCAGTGAATATTTACTCTTCCAGATCTTTTGTTGTACCCATTTGAATGTCTCACATATCTTTTTTTCTAGAAAAATAGAATAATATTAGGTATTCTGTTTGGTAAAATATTCCGTTTCTGAGATTTTTTTTTCATACTGACACTTGTAACGGCTGCATGGTATTGCATTGTATGGAGGTTCCCTAATAATTTTAACCGGTCCCCTATTGATAGACATTTAAAGTTGTCTCAAGTCTTAGACTAATATAAACTATGGTGCAATGGGCATTTTTCTCCATGTTTCTTTTAGTGCAGTCTCGAATATATTTTATTGGATGAGTTCCTAGAATAGGTATGTCAGAGGGCATGTGAACTTGTGGTTTTTAGAGTTACTGCCACGCTGACTTCCAAAGAGTTTGTACCAGTTCGCACTCCAGTGCCAACGCGGGGAATTTCCTCTTTTCCCACGGTTGAGCTCTTTGGCATTCTGATACATAAAAATGGTATCCAGTGATGCTTTAATTTGTAATTCTTGCCTTGTAAGATTGAGCATCAAGAATAAGGCACTCCCTATTCTTGAAAACTCTTCTCCAGTAAATGCAGTGAGGTCAGAGCACTTGACTCTCCAAGAATGTCACTTTTCCTCATAACTTCTTTATCGTAGCTGTTATCTGTAAGCCATCTATTTAACCACAGACTGCAAAACAAAGGAGCAGTAGAAGTTTTACCATGAATCATAGAATCATTTACACTATTGAAAAATTTGAGACTTAGAAAAACTGTTACGCCGCTGACTAGAGCTGAATCCTTGCTTCGTACAGCAGTCGCAGTGGCAGCACAGTGGAGACTGTGGTGGCAGTCTCCCTCCGCCACAGGAGGGAGGAGTCCAGTCCCTAAATGGATTCTGAGATCACAGCGCCTCTGTTCAATCCCAGAGCAGAGAGCGGACTGTGTCGGCAAATGAAAAAACATGCTTTTGTCTTCCTTTGTTTTGCAAAAGGTGCACTCAGCTAAACACAAAAGTGGCCAAACTCACCACAGAGCTCAGAGAGGAGCAGGAAATGAACAAGTGTTTGCGTGCCAACCAAGTCCTCCTGCAGAACAAACTGAAGGAGGAGGAGAGGGTGTTGAAGGAAACCTGTGACCAGAAGGATCTGCAGATCACCGAGATCCAGGAGCAGTTGCGTGACGTCATGTTCTACCTGGAGACACAGCAGAAGATCAACCACCTGCCTGCTGAGACCCGGCAGGAAATCCAGGAGGGACAGATCAACATCGCCATGGCCTCAGCCTCCAGCGCCCCCTCTTCGGGGGGCAGCGGGAAGCTGCCCTCCAGGAAAGGCCGCAGCAAGAGGGGCAAGTGACCTTCTGAGAAACAGACGTCCCTGAGACTGGTTTCCCTGGCGCAGTGAGGGTGTGCTGGGGCTTCAGCTAAATGTGAGGGCGGACCTTAAATAAGTACAAGTGAGGACCGAGCCGCAGTTGTTTGGATCTTTCATTTGCTGGCGTGTGGTGTGATAAACGTAGGGGGTTGCTGACTAGGAGCACCGATGGAGATGGGCCGTGTTTTAGAAGGTGGCTGCTGTTTTCAACCGTAGTAGTTCACTAACCTCAGACATTCTAATGACCATTTTGCCTTCCTACTTGATAGAAGCCCCAGCTCTGCTGTGCATTTTTCCGTTGTATTTATTGAGTCCGTGTATCTGACATTCAGGTCTGGGGTCGGTTTAAGATGTCGAATTTTTTTTTGTAACCTCAAAGGTAACGTTACCTGAGGTCTAGCAGCTGCTTTAAAGAGAGGTTTGCACTGGCCGCTGAGGATTTATGAAAACTCCCCAGTGTTAGTCTGACGTCCTTGTCATCCCCTCCCTGCGTCTGGGAAGAAGAATTGGTTGAATGTCATATGAAAAGAGGCTGGGCCTGTAAACCTTTAGTCACTAGCCTGTCACAGCAGCCTTCTTTTGCTCTAGGACTAGCCAGGAAAAACAAACAACCCTGGGGCAGGCTGAGCAGACTCAGTGTAGGGAAAATGGTGGTGCTTCTACTTTGTTTATTTTCGATGACTCCAGGCCACATTATGAACCTCAAGTAAAGAGGAGGCTGAATGGTTGCTCTAAGACTCCGATCTCAGAGTGGATGTCCTAGCATCTAGCAAGAATCAGCAAGCGGATTTATCATCCATATGAAAATGGGCAGCGAGGCCTCTGACTAGCTGATTGTGTATTTTGCTAGGATCAGTGTTTTCTGAATGTTTACAAAAGATTGGGCTGCATGCTCAGGTTGCGGCTAGAGGGAGCTTGGGCAGATTTTCAGTTATGCTTTCAAGATACAACCAAAGGCTGTTTCTAAATCCGAAAATTAGAATTTTAACAGGGCCCCTTTAAAACAGTCGTGCAGTGCTCGTTGTGAGCCAACAGAGGGGCTGTGTACTTTCTCTAGAAACCTTAACGTCAAGTAATTCATAATACGCAGTAATTAAGCCAAGTTAAAGGAAGACCCGTGTTGGAATTCAGCTTCCAGAAGGGGTAGCTGGACCCTGAAATGATGGGTTTTGTTTTCTGCTTTAGAATTAGCCAGAGTTTTCCAATGGTCACATTTTAGAATTGTTTTTAGCCTATGGTTAGGCCTCATCCCCTTTGGCGTAAATGTCCTTCATGTTCCTTGTTAGCACACAAACTGTATTGCTAATCACCATCCATTTTTGTGGGATGCGCTGGAGCATTTCCCAGAAACCCTCACCTGTAACTTTGCGAAATGAATGTACTCAGACATTCTCAAATTCTACTTAGGGCAGACCAACTCTGGAAGTGCCCCTTGGACTTACATATACAGACACCTTAAAGCAAGAGTGGGAATGTAAAGCGTAACCTAATTCTCTTTCCTATAGAGATTCTATTTTATTTAAAATCTATTTTTACACTAGTTAGAATCCTGCTTTTTTGGCCAAGTACTTGTCTTGCATGTCTGACCTTGCAGAAGCTGGGGTGGATCGTAGCATACTAATTACGAGAATTAGAAGTAGTTTACAAAGCTTGCTCGTTCCTCATTTTCCCATGATCACCTCCACCAAGCAGCCCCACCACCAGCTGGGGGAACAGAGGTTTTCAGTACAGGTGGGATAAGTGCCCTGAAAGGCTGTGCCCAGAGGAATGAGCAAATAGGCAAATGTTTCCAAACTACTTGAAGGTTTAAAAATGTTTTCCAGAAAAAGCATCTTATCAAGATACATAAAGAAAGTGTTTTTGAAAAAGGTCAAAGAGTCATGTTTGATTTTGACAAAATTACATAAGATAGAAACTGTTAGTATTTTCTTCAGGATGGAAATGAACCACTTAAGATATCCGTACTACCTTGAACAATGAAATTGCATTAAAATAACCGAACTTTGAAATGATTCTGCCCCGTGTGAAATTTGTGTCTCACTGGTTGACATTTGCTTGGGAGCTTGTATCTAAATAACCTAAGAAGGTGTCAATGACCTGAATTTTAAAACAGCACGAAAACCATCCCCTCAACAATATAGTGAGCAGCTAGATTATTCATCTTCCTACCCCCCTTTGCTCCAGCTTCCCAAACTAATAAAAAGTAGCTGAACCAAATATAGAATAAGGAAAATTATCTGAATTTAAAGGGTCGAGATAGGATGAGACCCGGCACACAACTCTTACAAATGCAAAGCAATCAACGTGTAGGTAGGCCTGAGACTTTTTACCAGGCCTTCTAGCAAGCCGAGGTGGTTTTATTTTTTGAAACTGTCCCAAATGTGACTTGTTAGGATACACTGGGTAAGACAAGGCCCTGAAGCAACTACCCTCTCCACGCTTGCACGGGGAGGTAGGTTGTCCTAAGCAAAAGGGCTGAGAAATGAATTGAAACAGCCAGCCAGTTGAATGTAGAGGACTTGGCAAATCACGAATGAACAACCTTCTGTCATCACTTGGAAACCCCTCTCCTGGTACAGTCGGGATACACAAGTTACAAATACCATCCTTGATTTGGCTGCTGTGCGTTCTGCCACGTAGCTTGGGCTGGTGGCAAGCTTGGGCTCCCGCAATGAAGTCAATGGGCTTATCTAAAAAAGGAAAGCCACTCTCCCATTTGAGGAAAGCTATTTCATTTTCTCCAGGATAAAGCTGAATTAACTGCCGCGGTGAATTCTGCTGCGTTAATTTCTTTCTTGGCAGCAGAAGGGAAATTTTTCAGGAGTCTCTCAAGACCCAGCTCCTGCTCCTTAATGGTGCTGGGGGACATCTAAACTACTCAGAGACCTGGCCATCACCTTAAGCGAGTTTAGGAAGCCACCAAGTGTTCTCCAACAGGCCTCTGCTTTCTGGCCAGTCCTTTACACTTGTGCCTGTGAAGGTTCTGGAAGTGGGAGTTCCAGGATATCTGTATAGTGTCCACACCAACAGATGTAGCTTTTAAAGTTAAAAATTTTAGGGGCTTCTGGGTGGCTCAGTTGAGCATCGGACTCAATTTCGGCTCAGGTCATGATCCCAGGGTCATGGTGTGGGATCGAGCCCGCATCGGGCTTCATGCTGTGCGTGGAGCCTGCTTGGGATTCTCTCTCTCCCTCTCTTTCTCTCAAATTAAAAAATAAAAACAAAAAAAAAAACCCATATATACATGGGTTATATATATATATGTATATATATATAAAACAATATATAAACCCATGGGGTTTTTTTAGTTTTTTATTTATATATTCTCGTCGTCACATTATTTTATATAATACATATATATATATATATATATATGAAGTTAAAAGAGTGAAGTGAAGTGAAAAGGAAAAGTGTGAAGTAGTAATAGGAAGAAAAGCCTTTCCTTTCAGGAACCCTCCCCCCCACCCCCCACCATTTTGTCCTGGAGCCAAAGCCAAGTGTCTCATCCTGTGTAACATGAAGTTCATTTTCACCCCCAAGCACTTCGCTTTAGTCACCCTGGAGCAAACAAAAAATATTCTTGCATTGGTGCATTAGGAGACCTCAGGGAAGTTACATAAAGCTTCTTTTATTTTTTACCTTTTATTTTTGGGGAGGGGTTGTGGCCTCTTTATCCCGATTAATGTTATAATCAACCCTTTCATGCCTTGTTTTCATCACTTAAAGGTAATAGTAACCATTTACCACTTACTGGTAACCCTTTTTATCCGGCCTCCCCGGGACTCGCGCCCTCCCCGGAATGCTCAGGCACTTAACAATATGAGGTTCTGTTAGACATTCATTTTGAAAGCTGTACTCCCAGAAGCCAAAACTACCTCAGCAGCATTTTAGCTCATATGCTTTTCACCAACATTGAGCAGTCTCTTATTATAATTCTGGAAGCTTAGGTGAGCACGAAAGGGGCGCCGCAATTGGTCCTTAATCTGGATTTTGCATTCTCAATGCATTAAAGAAGGCCAGGGAGAAATGAACAATCTGCTGTTTTGTACAAGATGATTGTGGTCTTTGGGGCCTAATGTTGAATTGCTTCGGGTCAGAAACTTCTCATTGGAATCATCTGGAAAATGTGGTTTTGGTACTTGGCACGGAGCTGCGCTGGTGCAGATAACATTTGTTACTCCAAGGCTAATTACCACGCGCACTAAGTGAACTAAAGCAGCTTTGCTTCTTTTCAGACCGTGTTCTAAATCCCCTGGCCCCAAACTCCTTTCAGATCCAGCCTCAAAATAAATGCAGAGATGTTTGACCTGGCCTCTGTGGAGATGTCTTTTGCCATCTTTGGTCTGGAAGGAGCACTAGATCCCAGACCAAATCTCCCTGTACATCTGTTTCCTCATTTAAAAAGGAATGGTGTTGGGGGGGCCTGGGTGGCTCAGTTGGTTGAGTGTCTGACTCTTGATCTCAGCTCAGGTCTTGCTCTCTCGGGGTGGTAAGTTCAAGCCCCACGTGCGCTGGGCATGAAACCTATTTAAAAAAAAAAAAAAAAAAGTGCACTGAGACTTCCTTCAGCCCTCTCAATTCCTGATTGTAAATTCTCAATCCCTTGGTTATGGCCCAATGGGCCAAGAGTCCAGACCTTCCCTAGAGGCCTGGGGGCAGTTGAGCACCATTAAGACAATGTGTCTCCCTCCACCACTTGAGAAACTTGCCTGTATCACTTTACATCATTAATATAATGGTTAGCATCAAAAGACTTTGGTGCTAACTGGAAAGAAGGAGCTCGAACTAATTTCTGGGGCAAAAGAACAAGATCACAGATCTAGAAGTGAAGAAGAGTCCATGGAAAATTTTAGGAGGAAGAGGAGAACTGCTCTCCTGGAAACACTCCAGCGGGAGAGCAAATTGTGACTTATCACACACAGCCAGAGGGTCCTCCAGCAGCATCTTCCAGGAACTGTCTTTCGTGAAAGACTGAGCCTTAG